AGACAGGGGGTACGAAAACCAGAACCCAGGACATCGGGGAGGACGGGCACCAAAGGCAGGTGGCGCGTATCAACATCAGTCAAGGCGACATAGCCCCTTTCCATCCCGTGTACGAGATCCCTTCTAACAGTCAACTCCCCGTATTTGGGTTTGTGGAGAGAACGAGCTCTGAGCTGACCGTAAAATGATTCCTCCTTCCTCCCGCTGGCAGGGAAGTGGCTAGAAGCTCGAAAAGGTCGATGAGCAAAAAGCTCGGGAGCGGAATTGAACCGCGACCCTACGAAACCTGATACTCAGATTTCATCCCAAGTTCAAACTAACGATACAGAGCGTTATACCTCTAGACCACTTGGTCCTTCACCGGGCTTGGGTGACGGCAGCAGGACTAGAGTTGGGTATAAAGGCTCATCGCAGTCCTGCAGGAGAAGAGAGTGACTTTGGTGAATTGTTACTTTCCGCTTTCCGTCCAATCCCTTCAACTTCCCGATACTCAAGTAATTATCTTCCTCAGACACTTCACCTAGCCCACCTTCTCGAGACCAAGGCGAGGTCAAATAGCCCTCCCCCCCCCAAGGCACCAGGCTTCTTGACAAGCAAACATCAGCCCAGTTCCCATTTCGACAGCCGACAAAAAAGCCCTTGTACTATTTAGTTTGGGCTCTTTCACAAGGGTGTCTTGGTAATTATCCCATTCAACAGTGGGAAGCAAACATCCAAAAAGGCGCGGATTCCAGTCTGGTCACTGCTGGGCTTCACCCCTTTTCCAACTTTTTTTTTGACTTGCAAAGATCTTACCTTTTCAGCAAATTGAAAATGGGGTCCCTGATTTCCGAAGCACAGGAGATCGTGGGAGCACTTCGCGGAGAGATTCTTCACGTCCCTGATCTGCGGGAAATTTTCAAGGATTGGCCGATGGACGCAAACACCAATTACAAAGAAATCATACCTGTGGTCGAGAGCGCATTCGATCGGTTGGTTGCCTCTCGACGAGGAGAATGAAAGATAAATAACTGACACAAGTATTGAAACAGATTGGTCCGGAATCCGAGACTTCGAGAGAAATACCGAAAGGCCAATTACGCCAAATTTGTGAGCCTGTGAGTATCACCACCCCTCTCACAGACTCAGCAACTGCTGTGCTGACTGAGGCTTACTTCAAAAGATATTACCCACACCCGGACCAGAACCGAATTCATACTCTTGCGCTCTACATCGTCTGGCTCTTCTGTTGGGATGATGCTATTGATCAGCAGGGTAGCGACCTGAGTGCCAATCTGGCGAGAGCAAAGACCCATCGCAACGACACTATCCGCGTACTCAACGAAGCCCTGGGTCTCAGCACCACTAGCACTAACACTCACAATACCATGTGCGATCATGTGAATGCTGAGTTGATTACTATTGGAGCAGTGCTGTGCAAGACCTACAACTATGGTGGGAAATTTCATCCCCTTTATGGAACGCTATATGCTGACCAAGATGCAGAACAAAGGCAAACTTTCATGAACCAGATGCGCCGCTACATTGAGAACTGTGATAAAGAGCAAAGTCTTCGTCTACGCGGTACTCTCCCTAGCATGGAGGCCTACAAAGAGTTGCGCCATGGAACGGCAGCAGTCTGGACCCTCTGCGCTCTGATTGAGTACGGCCTGGGAGAGAGCCTCCCGGAGCATATTCGCTGCATGACTCAACTGCAGACCCTCTGGGCAGAGACAAGCAGAGGTATTTGGATGTAAGTAGGTCTTGAGAACCACGCAGAGAAGAAGGGCGGAGGAGCAAAGCGTTGACCCTCAATGCAGAACCAACGACATCCTCTCCCTCAAGAAGGAGATTGTAAGTTTCGCTCCTGCCAATTCATAGGCTACCCTTTGCGTCCCCCCGCTCCATTATTTGCAAGCCCTTCCACGTTGGGAATTTCCCCGATCACATCTTCCCGGGATTCCTTTTCGTCGGCCGCCGCCGTCCCCTTTCTTCCCCTCCATCGAATTATCCGCCCTTCTACCCAATCAACGGCCACTTGCCGCCTCGAAGCCTCTCACGCCATGTACTTCCCGTCCTCCTATTCATGTTCCTAAACCTGCCAGAAGTCTCGGATCAGACGACCAAACAAGCTTCGGCATCAAGTTCCAAGATCTTGTGTAATATTGCCTATCCCTCTGGCTTGTGTGTGCGCCTTCACTACGCCCTTATATACCCTCGACCCCTCTCACCCTTCCCGCGTCTCACCTCCCGCCTACCTAAACGATCACTGCCTATTAGAAAACCCCACTAACGAAAAGAATAGCCAAAGGACGATAGAGCTGACGAGAGCATCGTCAATGCCGTCCCCATCCTCATGGTGGAGGAGGGAAAATCGCCGCAGCAAGCGGTAGACGCCCTCCTAGCCGATCTCGCCGTCTCCGTCGCCACCTTCGAAGGCGCTGCGAACACTCTTGCGGAGGCGGCGGGGGAGGAACGGCAGGCGGTGCTCAGGTACTGCGATGCTTGCCGGTGCATGGTCACCGGAAGCATGCAGTTTACGTTAGTCCCCCTCTACTTTACTTTTCTTAAAGACATGGCTGACATACTTATAGCTTTGAGTCCACGAGGTACAAGCTGGGGGGATGCATGAACGCGGACGGATCGTTGGACATCCCGCTGTAAGGAGTGCGGAGACAACAACGGACGACGACGGGGGACGATAGCGAAGACAACGACGAGGCAGGAGCTTTCAGTACAAGGTGAAGGAATACTATTGGAGTAAGGGTACGATTGCTGCGCCCCTTCCCCTCGTATAAAGCTTTATTCTGTTCTGTGTCTGGCCATCTATATCTAAAACTTCTTCCCCTCGGCCAACTTCTGAAAGCCCTGGACCAAATCGTCCCGCAAGTCCTCCCACGCCTCAACACCGATGCTAACACGGAGAAGTTGCTTGTCACAGCCAGGATCGCTCATTGCCCGCCACTCAATCAAGCTCTCAACACCTCCTAGCGAAGTAGCGTGGTGGAAAAGCTCCATCTTGCTCGGAAGCCTCTTCGCGTCCTCAGCATCCTTTAACCAGATGGCAAAGACGGGGCCAAAACCACCAGGCATCTGCTTCTTCAACCATTCGTCCTTCTGCAGACTAGCATGGACTACCTTGTCAACAACACTGCCAACAACACCCGTGGGATTGTTCCTGATCTCGTCGTCAATCCAGCGAACCAGGCTGGTGGCAGACTTGCTCTGCCTCTCCACACGCAGCTCAAGCGTCCGAATGGACCGGACACCGAGCCAGCCCTCCAATCCTCCCATGACGCTTCCGATGTAGCAACGCTCCTCAATCATGCCGCGAAGCCACTTGTCCGCGCGGGAGGGGTTGACAGCCAGCACACCGCACAACATGTCCGAGTGCCCGCCAAAATACTTGGTTCCGGAGTGCATCACAATATCCGCACCAAAGTCAAGGGGGTTCTGCAGTGGCGGCGGCGCGAACGTCGCATCGACAGTTAGATAAGCCCCGACCTTGTGCGCCCTTTCGGCATAGTACGCCAAGTTACGCGCCTCGCCGGTGGGGTTCAACGGGGTCTCGACATGCAACACATCGCCGGCTTCGAGCTGGTCCAGGGACGCCTCGTCGAGCTCGAGCTGCTTCAGGCCGTTGAGCTTGGTCAGGATGCGAATGACACCGTGGCAGCCGTGGTAACCGCCGCCAATGGCTACGCGCTTCGGGTTGAGGTAGACGAGCATGGCGTGGAAGGCGGACAGGCCGGAGGAGTAGGTCAGAGAGGGCCCGCCGAGGACGGAGGAGAGAACGGCCTCGAAGCGGGTTGTGTTCGGGGTGGAGTAACGGGAGTAGACGTGAGAGTCGGCGGGAGCATTGGGCTGGCTACTTGTTAGTTGGGACAGACTCAAATGAGACGGAACGAAGTGAAGGAGGGCTCTCACGTCGGTGTTGTCCCCTGGACGGAGGTCATCGGGGTTGGCGCTGTACCTGAAGGTCGTCGATACGTGGATGGCCGGGGCAACCGCGCGGTGGGAGCTGATGCCATCGTCGGCGTGGACGGTGCGGGTAGCGAGCGACAGGTTGCGGATGCCGTCCTCCGGGCCGGAGTCTGTGCCGTTGGTGGGAATGTCACCAGCCATAGTGATGGTGATCCGGGATGGGAGGGGATGGCGGGGCGAATTTTGTCACTGGCTTGGAGAAAATTGTCGCGGGGTGAATGGGCGGTTGACCAGACGTGAGGTTTCACTCGATCATGGAGTAGTAGTGATCTACGACAATGGGCAGGTGTTGGGAGTACTTTATTCCCCATAGAAGAACACCTGAAAGTTTGACAAGGATGCAATGACAATAGTCACCGGCGACAGAGGGGTTCTCTCTCTCTCTCTCTCTCTCTCTCTCTCTCTCTCTCACACATACATTTCCTCTGCCCCTCCATTACGTATCAGAAGGTGGGGTCTCATGAAAGTGAACAAATCCCGAGAAAATGGGTCCTGGTGCGACAAGTGCATGGCGGGATGCAGTCTCTGCGATATCACGTCAAACAACGAAGCAGCGATTGGGAAACGTTGGCCGGTCCGACTCCGCTGGGCCTCCGGTATTCGGATCGTTTGTCAATCTGCGCCCTTGAGCGTTCGTGGCGCAACGCTCGACGCTTCGATACTAATTCGTAGGGGGTTATCCCGGCCACACACTTATCGTCACTCGATCTCATCCTCGTTCTCATTCACGCACATGTTGCAAGACAGCGCAAATCTGTGAAGTTGTATCTGTTATCATTATCATTAAGAGCTCATTCACGAGACAACCAGCCTCGAAGACGGCGAGCTCATTTTGCCGGGCCTGATTCTTGCCGCTCGTATATGCATAATGCGGCCCAGCCCGACCGGATCGTAGGTTGGCCCAACTCTAATCATGTCATAGCGAATGCGTCCCATTTCCAGGGCCCAACCCAGCCAGTAACGCCAAGATCCTGCGCCGTTCAAAATCTCGCACAGGATATCGTATGTACAAATCGAATAAACAATGCCGCACAGGATTAGCGTACTTCGGTGGTCTTGACAGAGGCCGCTGACTTTGGTCGCTCAATGTCGATTGTGCCAAGTTCCTGACCTCCGCTCTGTCCGCGCTTTCGTCCGGTCAGGAAGCGGGTCACACTTGCGTTTGGGGAATTAGCGCTCTGCTCCTTGTGGTCAGAGTCACCGAAGCGCGAGAACAGGCCGCGCTTACGGCTGGGCTGTTGCTTGTGGTCGTCCAGGCCGACATCCTCAAAGCCCTCGTCGGCAGTGGGAAGGTCTCTGTCGGACCTTCTGTCAATCGCGGATCGAGGCAGGCGCGGGAATCGTGCGGAGTCGAGACTCTGGCGTTGGGGGAGATCGGCCTGGGGGATTGGGGAGCGTGCTGAGATGTCCTGCAGGTAAGCTGCGGTCAGCGGCAGTGTCACGATAACCTCGCATAGACGAAACGCACGAAAGACCGTCTGTAGGAATCGAAAGACTCTCTCGAGATGGAGAAGTGCTCAATCTCGCCGCTGTCGGTGCGAGTGTCTGTAGAGTTGCGACCCGAGCCGAGGTACTTGCGCGGCCACAGTCCCTTTTCCTCAGTTGGAGATGGCTGCATGTGTGCATTAGCGATGTCTCAAGCATGCCTGAAGACCAAGTGCAAACATACAGGGAGGTAGACACCGCTATCGTTGACAACGCTCATCTTGTATTCGCCGTTGTCCTGGCTCTTGGATGTTCTAACGCTCAACGAAGACGAGGTCTTGGAGCCCACGGTGTCCTGCTTCTCGAAGCCGGGATGCGACGGGTTCTCGCCATCTGTGCGAGCGGTGTCGTCTGGAGTAAAGGTTGCTGGACCCGGGCGACGGGCGAAAGGGTTGCGGATAGTAGGCATGGTGGATGGAGAGCGGCGGGAACGTCGGAAAGTGCTTTTTGAATGGGCAATGCTCGTTTTAAGGCGATGAGATGGTGGTTCGAAGACGGGTAATCGTGCCGGGGCGGGTTATAAGTCGGAGAGCGTTGTGCGAGAAAAGTCACAGCGGATGTTTAAGCTGTGTCCGAAGTTCGAGGGTGATGCTGGCAGCTTTGTGTTTGCAAAGGAATAAAGCAGTGGAGCCGGAAGGGCGGGGTGGTAGCAAGGACGTGGATAGACGGGACGATGATGAACTATATGGGAAGTCTTAACCGTCTGGGCTGCTGGGCCTTGTGTATGGTTGGTCGACGGGTGTGTCTTGGTTTTGGTGTCTAGTAGTGTATTGCAAGTTGCCCGTTCCAAGGGTCTCTCGTCTTGGTGTACAGTAAGGCGGTGGCTTGGTTGCACGACTCGAATTTGGATTGGTCTGGAGCGGGGAGATGGATTTGGTTTGTGGAGGAGAGTTGAGGCGCAAGGCGAAGCAGAAGCAGGAGGTGCGGGTTCCGAAGGTGGCTGTAAGCAGAGGGTGCAGAGGGTGCAGAGGGTGCAATTGATGAGGACCACAGACGATGACGAGATGATTAGACGACGAGGTAAGTAGAAGGCACGGAAGTTGGGAAGTCAAGAGATCCGGAAGGCACGAACAATATTATCGGGCGGGAACCTGCAGGTTTTGGGCAGTGGCTTCCCTCATCCCTTGTCTTTGCCATGTCTTCGGTCTTGCTTCCTTTTTTTTTTCTCTCCCGTCTTGTCCTCTCTCCCCGCCTGCTACGGCAATGGGACTGCACCCCATTCACTTGCAGGAAGCGGTACGCACTACTGCCCCTCAGGGACTAGGGAAGGGGGCAGTTTTTGCAGACTTGAAGGTGACGAATGACCTTCTTGCAGCTGCATCTATTGGATCATGAGGTAACGGCACCACTCCGGACCTCGTCTTATTAACGAGGTCCTTACTTAGTACGGTGCTACACATAAGTAAAAGGTTCCAATCTTTAGGGGACCTGGTTTGGCCCAAGAACCCTTCCGTCTTCATGCTGTCGACCCGTCGTCGAATATCTCACCTTGAGCGACGGATAGGAATGATGTATTCCTGCCGCGGGGAGACGGGAAACTGGGAAGGAAGCGCAACTGCACCGGCGAGAAGACTTCACCCGACTCTTGCTGCTCCTCCATGGACGGCCCGGGCACACGGACGCACCGAACCTGCTGCGAAAGCTTTTTGTAAGGTCGATACCTAGGTACCTACGGATAGGTAGGGTACGAACACCTGTGGACGGCAAGGGCTCCTGGGTCGGCAAGGCACAATGACATGTGTTTGTCCCATGTTTTCCCTGGCCGTCAGCCGCCAACCCATTCTAAGGTTCGTCGGATCGCACGCAAGGTACCTCGCCCTTGGGTAGGGTAGCCCGCCTTGCCTTGCAGAGACCCTGCCCTCCCGTCCGCAAAGATGGGGTGACGCTTGCCGTCATCCACCACGTCCGTCCAGCGCTATCCCCGCTACGGCATGCCCTCAGTGCCCTGATTATCCTGGCTCCAGCGGTTAAAATGGTCCCACCCAAGGACGACCATCCATCGTGGAGTTGCTGAGAGGCCGAGACCAAGTCACGGGTCCAGACTCGCTTTTCCAAGACCGCCATCGCTGCCTTTCTTCAATCTTGTTTGCACGGAGAAGTCACTCACAAACACCGCAGTGCCCTACAGTACGAGGTCCCCCGTTCCACATCGTGCAAACGGTGCGCCCCCGGATGCCTCGGCACCGGGTTTGAAGGGAGTTTGCGCGATCGGCACGCCGGTTTTCCATTCTGCACCCAATGCCACCGCGGACCTGCATCATGTCCGTCCAGCCGTCCCTGATTGACCGCGTCGGAGTCTGATGCGCGTCCCGCGCCTATCAGATGGATGACGCTTTCATCGGCACCCACCTCCTTCTCCAACTTGCCCGCTCACCACTTTCCCGGACCGGGGACTCTTCGGTCAATCGCCGGGAGCTACATCCTCTCTTTCCGGTGCCAGCTCGACAGTATTCACGAATATTTGGAATCCTGGAATGCCGTACAGCACGTGACCAGCACGCCGGCCAACGGGGACGCCGGTGTCGCGCACGAAGTCAACCAGTCGGAGCACCCCTAGCATACAGAGTACCGTCAAAGTCGACAATAGAACGGGGAAAGAGTCGTCATATTCCACCTTGGAGTACCCTCAACATGAGAGTGAATCGCGTCGGCGGAGGTCTGATCGGAGGGACCGACGCTTCTCAAAACGAGCGGAATCTCACGCCTTCTTAACCAGAAAGCCGGACCTGAAAAAGCGACGGAATGAGATCTCTGCCGTCATCGACGATTCCATGCACCATCGGACGCAAGCGGAAGCAACGCCTCCCAACACCGTACGGAATTGACTCAAGACCATATCTACCTTCCCCTCCGCCGCCGCGCGACTATCCTCGTTGACGCCGACGATGGCCTCGCTCATTTGATCACAAGGCTGTAATTGTCGTAGCGGCGGCGTTTCAAGCTCCAAAAAAGCTCGAGTGAGCTGCCGAAGACTGCACCATATTTTCGCCAACGCATGACAGTCTCTGGGTAGCAGTGAGAAATGGCCTGCTAGTACCCTCCGGATTAAGTTATCGCGAGAAGGTTGCCCCGCGTTGTCGTTCCTGTCCGGCTAATCGGATGTGCAGGCGTTCCAACTCATCGTTGCAGACATGGCGGGGCTACGTGCTTGCGTTTCGACAGCTGACGGCGGCAGCACCCTTGGCTTGGATACCTACATGCCCGAATGTCGGCTCGACAGGCGGCTGCTGCCATATATCGCGAGTAACGAGCCGGAATGACCTGGCGCTGGAACGGACAGCTGGACAACTCTGGCGAACAATCTGTTCATGACCTTCTTGTTTCTGTCCTCGCCAACCAAGAGTGGTACCGCATTGGGACTGATCTACTGGGCTTTTGTGGAACACTTCTTTGTCGTGGGACGATCACAAAAACTTTCGGCGAGGCTACGCTGGCAGTCGCTTCTCAACGTCGAGCCTCAAGCGCGACAAGGCCTGCCATCGGCAACGCGACTAATCGTCGCCTTTGTTACCCTCTGATCGTAACCATCTGGCTGCCGTGATCATCGGAGTTGCCGTCAGCGGCTCACAATCTGACGGTGGCCTGCGTTCTCCTGGCATAGTCAACTCGTGTCTCCATCGTTTACCCAGGCTGCAGCTTGGGCGGACCTACGTGGAAAATTCACTGAATACCCGCGCGGACAAAGAAAAAGGCCTGCTACTCTCCCGAGGTCCTTAAACTGCCCCTCAATGGTCGAATTGGTATCATGGTCGTCTTGATTAAAGTCCTAGAATCGAAGCAGATCATGAAATAGCGCATGTTTTTGGTTTCCGGTGATTCTCGTGGAAATGTCCTGGCATATCACGTTAGGACAGTACGATGGCTCTCCACAGTTTGTGACACCCCCGTGGACATGGTTCTGGGAGCTTGACAGACAACCAGCCTCATGGCATATCAATTTGTCAACTTCAAACTTAGCTTTGGACCACTTCGTTGCCGTCGACGTGCTCCGATGGCCTACTCAGATTTCATGGCGTGAGACGAAGGTAATTTCCAAGCGTCCGTGGGAAGGACGAGCCAGTGGCGCCTACGAACCGCATTGACATCAAGCGCCGAGTCAAATCAACTCAAGCAACCCACCTGGCCCGGGAGGCCTTCAACATGGGCATCATGCCATCTCACTGTGGTAACGGGACGACGTCTGTTCTCCCCAGTCTTCACCACGGAACCACATGGTGGCGCGCTAAGCCGGCGCCATGGTATCCAAGCAGCTAAGAAAAGAAGCATATGATTTGATCGACCGTCGAGTGTCCGAGCAAAGCAGACGACTTGCGATGGACTGCCAACGGTCGTCACAAGCAGAGATGCTCAAACACTCCTCCTCGCCGCTAGGGTCGCACTCGATCGTACCCTGCACGTCGCTCGCCAAGGCCAATCGTTGTTTTCAGGTCGAAGCCCTCTGTGCTCCACAGGCAATGCGATGCTATGTAGAGCACACACACTGCCGCATACTGCAACATGCGGGAGTCAGACTGGAGATCAACCCGAAAGTGAGATCTCCAGGGGTACCGCGACCGAAGCGGCTCTCGAGGCTGTGCATCGCGTTGCTGCCGGTTCCTGCGTCGTTAAACCACCCGCTTCTCAATTGGCGCGGGCTGCATTCAAGCCTGGGATTCCTCCGCAGCATTGCGAGAAGGCAGCACAGCAGATGTACGCCAGCAGCCGGCCGGAAAGCGTGGCCAGTTGAGTCGCATGTCAGGCACCAAAATTCCAGCGGCCTGGGAATGCAAAGTGACACGGAAACTCTAGAATCAAACACGTTCACGTCAAGACAAAAGCGCACAGAGCCGTGGCAGCCAGCGAACAACACTCAACATCACGAGAACGTGGCAGAGGGTGGCTTCACTCTCGCCGCAAACATGCATGACAAACACACAGCACCTCAAGCCAAGAGAGTGAGTGGGAGCGAGCAGTTTCTTGAGGGTCCCGGTCTGGAAATCAGGTGTGGCTTGTCTGCCGCGCTTCCTTCGGCGCTAAATTAGCAGCTAAGGCTTTCCGTCCCGTACCTTACATTCCGCAAACGGCCATTTGAGACCTCTTTCCGTCGCGGTACACTGCGAATGCTTCTCTCCCAAGAGTCTGTTGAACCCCCCGCAGCTTTCCAAGGTGGCGTCACACTACGCATTCGCACCTCAACTCAGCGAGCGTTCGCCGTGCCCAACTTGCCAACCCAGATCAGAGCATTCCGACATGGCGGACACCCGGCTCAGTGCTGTTGGCCGACTGTGAGCCTCTTCGAGACGCCATCGGCCCAACGCAAACGGGCATAGTGTCTTGTCGCGATCCGCGACATGGGATCTAGATGGAGGAGCAGGGATGATCCAGACTTCCTCTCTGCAGCGGACCATGAGTACGAGAACAGCGCTCAGGAATCGCCCGCGGCCTCGATACCACCACACCAGACCTTCAGTGCCCCTTGATGGAGGAGGACGTGGACGTTTATGGTTGTACGTGCTCAACCTCGCACGTCCTCGGCCGGTGGTCTCTTCCTCCGTACCCTCAGTAATCCTCCCATCTCCACATGGGCAACAGACGTCGCCCAGCCACTGTCGACACACTCTGCCCGAGACGGAAGATGGTCCACGGTTGCCGTCAGTCTAGTCCCAGTCCAGCGCTTTCGAGGTTCAGGTCTGGGCCTTGCGTATGTTCTCCCATCGTAGACGGTGCAAGTGATGTGATGAGTTGTGTTTGCTGCTGCTAGCCGTGTACCCTGTTTCATACAAAACCTGCTGCCACCCATCCAACCATTCATACCCTAGACACTGCTTCCCACATGGGTTTTGTTTCCTCTTCACCGCCGAGGGTTTAATATCTGCCGTTGCCTTCTGAATACGAGGTTGCTTTTGTGCTGCTCGTCTTTACTAATACTCAACGACGTCGCAGTCGTTTTGGTCTGGTTTGAACACCAACGCTTCACACCTTGTTCCGACATCATCGCCTCGAGCCGCCGAACACGACAATCCGCCCTATTATTTTCACGCTGTTGGGGTTATTTTTTCTGTCTTTCCTGTGAAAGACACGGTGCCTGTCCCGGCTGTATTCACTTCCAGCAACACCGGTTGGGCTAACAGCGTGCCACTTACACCGTTCATCCGAAGTGCCACCTGCCGCATTCGAAAAAGGGTCTGGCCGAAAGCAGAAGAGGTGGACGTCACAACAACCAACCTCAGTCCCAAAAGACTTTTTCGTCTCTTTTTTCATCGCCTCAAGTAGACCGGCACAGCGCTCCGATCATTCACCATCACCACTTTTCATCTAATCTCAGTCAGCCCCTGCCACCTGTTCGGCCACTGAGCGCTTCTCATCGACCATCACCACCCTCAGCATCCTCTCCCGAGTCCAGTCAAAATAAAACACCAACAAAATGGGCGGAAGATTTTTTGTGGACTGGGAGCTGTGGCAGCAGATGACCTTTGTATGTCTTTCAGTTGTCCTTCATGGTCTGCAATATATCTAACAGCTTCTTTCAGGTCCTTGCATGTGCCATCGCCGTCGTCTTCGCGATTGGCTTTGTCAAGCTATGGTGGACGAATCGTTACATGGCGAAACTTGAGATAATCGATGCCGAAAAGCGAGCCCACGCCTCTGAGATGGAGTCAACCGGTCTTCCGCCCCCGCGAAAGCAGTCCGACATCCCCTTCGGCGTCCGAGCTATCCAGTCTGGTATCGAGGTCGATGGCATCTGGATTTCTCGTCCTGGCACCCCGGCTACCGACTCTCCCCCGAACTCGGCCAAAGGCAAGGGCAAGTACGTCGCGCAAGCTCCCGTCTCGCCTTCCTCTCCCACGAACTCGGACCCCTTCAACTCTCCGGCATCGTCTTCTCGCGGCGGTAACAACTACGGCCCCCAGACCTACCGCCCCAAGTCCATGTCTTCGCAGGGTCGCGTCACAAGTCAGGCCGATGCTTTGAGACGTCTTGAGGGTGAGCCTAGTGCCAATGTGACATATCAGACATACCAGCCTCGCGGAGCCGGAGCCGCAGCCATGCACGACGATGAGTATGGCCCAACCGATCGCATTTCCGGGGACTATGGCGTCGACGTCAGGGTCCCTATCCGCCCGCCTCCTGTCAACCGTCACTTGAACAACGCTCGCGGAGGCGGCAGCCCTCCTCAGCCTAAGGTTTCTGGTGTTCGTTCATTTTCCGGAAGCCTTCAAATCCCCAATAACGGCAAGAAGGGTTACTCTACTGTTCCCCAAGGTTCCCCTGGTGGCGAGTTTTCCGACCCCTTCGCGAGCCCAAGCCGCTCGCCGGTCACCACTCCCGGTGCCGACCACGCCCTCTTGCCTTCTCAGCAGGGCCATCATGTCACGTTCGCACCCGATGAGTACATCACGGCCCATCACGACCATCACCGCCACCCCAGCGACGGCAGCAGTGGGAGCAGCAGCAGCAGCCGGAGCTAAAGCACCGCGCTGTTCAGCAAGAGTCAGGCTGAGGACAGTATATGATGAACAGCATTGGTTGGCACAGCGAGTTACTTTTCCAATGTCTTGAGACATTTTCTTTTCTTCAACTTGGAATTCTAATAACAATGTATCATTAGTAGAACTGCCAATGCTGGGCAGGGTAGATGGAAAAGGACAAGGAATTTCGAGGCCTAAAAAAAAGGGGGGGGCTCTTCAAAGGCGTTTTGAGGATTGTAAAATTATCTACGAGCGGGGTTACTGGCAGGAGAGACACTGAAGGAGGGAGGGAGGAAAACAGCAGACGATCGGATATGCGATGCAATCCATCGTCAGGCCCCGAGATGGAAGGGGCACCGACTATCCTTAACAACATCATTCACATAGGAAGAATAAACAGAACAATTAAGAACAATTGCCGTGCAGGTTCAGTGGCCGTTTGCTGCGATTAGTCTGTTTTTCTCTCTCGGATGCGCTGACTGCTTGGGCTTGTGAGAAGAAAGCGTGGTGTCAAGGCTGAGGATCAAGCGGCATAAAGTAAGCCCAATTAAGCCTGTAACGTCATGTATCCTTGCACCTGGCAAGCGCATTTTCGGCTCCCACCATTGCATGCCTTTCTCCTTGCTCCGTTCTTCGGCGCAACCTCCGCGAATTCGGCACCGGCCGCCGGATATGCCCAACTCCACGCCTCCCATGGGCACCCTCCTTCGCTTGGCCCCTCCCTCCCTACCCACCCCACGCTGGCATGAGTGGCTCAAGGGCCATGACGTGCGCCGCCGATGAAGGATCCTTGGCCTTGAGGGATATCAACGTGGACTTCTGAGCTTTCCCGCGACTACTTTTCCCTTTCCGAGAGTATCTGTCTATTCCGTCTGTGCACATAGAACCTCGGCTTTTGGAACCATTACATGCTGGTCTCCGTCTAAACCAACGACTGTCTAGCGTCAAACATTCGGACCTGAATTTTTAATTTTTTTTTGGAGATACCGAAAAGCGAACAAGCCGACATGTCTCCCACGGAACTCCACCCCGGTACCAAAGGGTTCTCGGACGCGGCCTCATATGACGCGTACCGGCCCTCGTACCCGCCCGAGGCGACGCAACGGTTCCTGTCGCATCTGAAGATTGCCGACTTTGCGCACGCCAATGTCCTCGACCTGGCGGCGGGCACGGGCAAATTGACAGAGGTTCTGGCTGCCAGACACGAGAGCTTCAATGTTGTAGCGGTGGAGCCTCATGCGGAGATGCGCGCAGAGCTGGAGAGGAAGGCGTTGAAAGGCACGGTGGTGAGGGATGGGTTTGCGGCCAAGGTGCCATTGGAGGAGGAGTGGGGCGATGCGTGTGTTGTTGGACAGGTCAGTCTCCTTTTTATCTCTGAAGCTCGCCTGGAGACACTTCGGCTTCAAAGGATTCGCCGCTGACATGACCTTGTGGACAGGCTTTTCACTGGTAAGGGAATTTGAAGCGTTGCCGTTGCCAAGATACTGACACTGGTAGGTTCGCGAACGAGGATGCTCTCAAGGAGATCCACCGCGTCTTGAGACCTACAGCTGTGCTGGGTTTGATCTGGAATATTGAAGACTGTAAGACCTTCTTCACTACGACATCTGCTCACGAATCGGGTTTGCCCAGCTGACAATGGCGATAGACAACAAGCCAAAGCATTGGCAAGCCAGCACACCATGGGAGCAGTCACTCAACGAGCTGGTCTTCAGCCTTGGCACCGACGGCCAGCCCCGCTTCCGCGACTTCGTCTGGAAGGACGTCTTTGACCGGCAGCTCGACTCGAACCCGCTCAAGGCCGTCAAGGACGTTGTCCTCGAGGGCGGGCGGAAGATGCCCCTCTTCAGCGTCCCCGTCGGCGAGGAAAAGGTGCCCTTCACCGTCTGGCTTACGCCCGAGGCGGTGTGGAACCGCATCCGTACGCTGAGCCAGATTGCTGTGCTGGAGGGCGCGGCAGCCAAGGGTTTCAAGGACAGGTTTGACGACATTCTGGCGGGAGAGACGGTCGAGAAGAATGACAAGGGCGAGGTTGCGCTGCATGGCGTCACATATTTCGCGTGGACTTCGAGGTTGTGATTGTCGACGGGTGAGCTGGGAACTGAGGGTATATTTCATGTTTGGTAGATTCTTCTTTTCTTGTGGTGAGCGTCTTCGACGAGTATCATCTGCAGACGCAGTGCCCAGCTTCAGCCCTCCGCATAGCCATCATCAAATTCTCATCCACCTTTCCCTCACGAGTCCGCGGAGATGTACATGACTGTAGACCAGCCATCAGCATGAGAATTCCAGGACGGCTGGGACATTTTTGACTCACCATTGTTTCCTCTCACAAACGCGTCGCCGTACGCCCGCCTCTTGACGCCGTTGACGTACTCCTCAGTCTTTTCCAGCGCGATGTTCATGTAGCCGTCAACAGATTGCAGCTCACCTGTCGGGCATGTCAGCTGCCCAAACCAAGTTAAACAAGCAGATGCCGAGTATTTCCAGCCTCAACATGACCAATCACTCACCCTTGTAGACGACGCCCGAATTGAGCTTCACAGTGACGGGGTTGCCGATGATGTCGCTGAGGAAGCTGGAGGGGTCCTTACCCTCGCCCTGGCTGATGTTTCCGTTCTCCATTGTGAGGCTCTCTGCTCCTGAATAAGGTATGGTCGATGGAGGCGATCGGTGGGTGTAAGGTGCAGTCGGCAGTGGTGAGTGAGTGAGTGAGTGAGGCTGATGGCACTGGATGCGTTGACGATGTTCGAAGATTGTTGGCTGGCGGACAGCTGGCGCCGATGCGTTTGACGGCCAAAGCGGGGCTGGCGGAAGGCACTGCAATGTGGTCGCTCCAAAAGATACCAGATCCCAGGATGGTTCGCACTGTAAGGCTACCTGGGCAGCGCACACCCCACGGTCTGAAGTGTCCAGCAGGCAACTGCAGGTGGGGTCCAGCAATCAATTCTTGCGCTCTCACCACGGAAACACACCACACCACACTTCAGCGACCGCCGCCCCCCCAACACAATGCGCGCGCCTTCCAATTCATTCTCGGGGCGCATGGCCGTGATGCTCTCTCCTGCCGCCTCTTTTCTTCCGGCATAGCCCCCGAGCTTTCCGTTTCTTTCCACGTTGTCGAAACCTGCCCTTTCAAAAACCCCAGCCGTTGGCTATTGTATCTTTTTGTCCGTCGGCTTTTCATCGACCCCCCGGTTGGCCTCTGCAACGCAACTTTGACCGCATCGCATCACCAATTTTTTTTTCTCTCCAACAAAGTCTACAGAGGTCGAAACCCAGCCGCGCCACGATGGCAGACGCAGCAAAACCGAAGAAGCGCTTGCCGTTCAAGCCGACTGCCTTGCGCCAGAAAGCTGCCCCGAGACCAGTGGTTAACAAGAGCGACGACGAGGATAACGATGACGGGATTAGCCTCTTTAACCGCGGCGCCAGCGTCTTCGAGCAAGAGCGACTGGAGCAAGAACGACAGCGCAAGCGCAAACAGGCTGAGCGGGAAAAGAGCTCGCAAGCCCCTTCTCCCGCGAAAAGGGGCTCCTCACCAAGACGAGCAAGCGAAGACCCGTTCCACGAAACCAACCACCATCATGAGGATTTCAGGTACCACCATCCCACACAAGCCTCGCGTCACCCATCCATGATGCTAATCTGCCCACTGTAGCAGAGGCCCAGACACACCGCCATCAAAACGTTCGCGTACAAGCGACGAGTCCCCAGAGTCGAGGATAAAGGCGTCGCCTTCCAAACGAGCTAGCACCGAGACACCATCCAAGCGAATGACGCGCGCCGCTGCTTCCCGAACGCCGCGCAAACAGGAACCTTTGCCATCGAAGCCTGTCATTTCGATCGACGATAGCGACGACGACGAGGATGACATTTACGATGCGTCTCCCATCCGCAAGACCATTCCCGAGGACCGTGACCCCTCTCCTTTGGTGATAGACGACGACGACGACGACGACGATCCATTCGAAGAAAAGAATCCCACTGCCACGGAAGACGACGACGATGAGATGGCGGAGTACATTCGAGCGGCAAAGGAGCGTAAAGAAGCTCAAGAGAGGCTGGCGAGGGAACAGAGCGAGGACGCGAAACAAGTGGTGGTCATCTTCGTCACCTCTGACATACCCGGCGTCGTCAGCAAGCAGTTCAAGTTCACCCTGTCCAAACCGATCAAGGTTCTCCGCAACGCATGGATAGACGTGCACAGCGGACGATTGGACCTTCCGCAGTCGGAGATCAATGAGGTTTTCCTCACCTGGCGTGGGCACAGGCTCTACGATTTGACAACCCTTAATAGTCTCGATCTCCAGGGGGAGTACCGCAAGACAACTGGTGGGCAAGACGGTTTCAAGGACGACTGGACAAAGGTGCACATGGAGATGTGGACACCGGCGCTGTGGGAGGAACACGAGAGACAAGTGGCGAGGCAACGCAGGCATGACCGCGGGGAATACTCCGACGACGAAGGTGGAGACGTTGGTGACGAGGTCGTAGAGGCCGAGCCCGAGGAGCAGAAGATCAAGGTCCTCCTCAAGACCAAGACGGACGAGCCCCTCAAGACATCGGTGCGACCATCCACAAAGATCGGAACGATTATGGAACTATTTCGCAAGATGCGTGGTTTGGCGCCTGATGCTCCCATCACGCTCATGTTTGACGGTGACGAGCTTGAAGAGGATGTTACCGTCGCGGATGCTGACATTGGCGACATGGAGACGATCGAGGTCTACATAAGATGAGGGCCTTCCTCTCACGCCCGTCTACCACTAACGTGAAACGTGCAGATGGTGAGACTAGGGCCAAAGGCGCCGGTGACGAGCAGTGGATTTTGTTCGAGATACCCAGGGAGTTTAAGCGAGTGTCATAGGATAGCTCTGTGAACGTGCTTGGCAGAGCTGGAGAGGCGTTGGGAAAAGTCATTTCCATATCCATCTCTGCGTGAATCTATCTAAACTATTGATACAATTATGTCTACTGCGTGTGATCATAATCATGAACTTCTACGATCTCTTGAGTTAGTATCGCAGAAGAGGTTCAAGACGAAGGCCGCCATTCACAACCCGGTCCTGGAGCCGGTTTAGCCAATGGTAGTTCGCCCTGGAACGATGAGAGCGAGGGTAACGAGGGTAGCAAGATCTTCAATCTGGTAGCTATTTAAAGCAAAGGCCACGAAGACCTGTGATAATGAACGTCCATCCTTCCACATTGGGTGTACAAATGAGCAAACAATTCAATTATACAGTTAGTTAACCCTCAATCATCGAGGCGTCTGTCTTTGTCTCAGTTTCTGTCTCAGTTTCTTCCTCGGCACTCGACATTGACAAACGTCCTGGCGTCAGGCGTGTTTCTCCCCACAGCCCGCACACTTGGGCTGTGCATCGTCTACGGGGAAGCACCAAGCCTGAGTACTTCTTGACCGCCGAGACTGAGCCGCGAAATCCTCCTTGTTCTCCTCCGTGGCCTCGTTCTCCTCGGCGTCGGCGTACTCATCGTTGCGCGCCCGGATGTTGAAGTAGCGAGTGCTGTTGTACTTCTCCCCCAGACGCTTGGCGACGTCGTTTGCTTCGTTGAGGGAGACGAGGCGGCGCTTGCCGGGGAACTGCTCGAGTACAGAGCGGACAATTTCCCAGACCTGTTGCTTGTCCGTCAAGGACGTGGTTGTCCTTGCGCTACGGTTCTTGTAATCGACAAAGGAGCCGGCATCGCGGTTGACAAGCGCGCGCGGTTCCTTGTCGTTGTTGTAGTTTCTGAAGTGGAAGGAGATGGTGTTCGGCGCGGTGAGTTTCTCCCCGGTCACTTCCTCGCGGGCGATTTCTGCGGGGGTGCGGCCGACGGCGTTCTCGCGGTACAACAGCTTGGGCTTGTATTCGATCAGGGCCTTGGTGAGGAGCTTGTTCCGGGACATGACGGCCGTGTGCAGAGGAGTGTCGCCGGAACCTGAGAGCACCTCCAGCTCGGAGCCCTTGGAATACTCCAGAATCAAGCCGAGAACCTCGAGGATCTGGTCGTCATTGTCGTACGACTGCCCGTAGGTGTGATGGTATCCTCGCCAAGCGCTATTGATCCAAGAGTGCAGAGGGGTTGTGCCGCTTTCGTGAAGGTTGTTGCGCTGCTGGAACAAATGGGTGACGATGCTCGAGTCGACGACCTCCAGCATGGGACGGAGCCTGCAGGCCTTGGGAGAGCAGTCCAAGGCGGCATGGATGATGTTGTCACCCGCGTTGTTACGGATCATCTGGTTCGCGCCAGCCTTGATGAGCATCTTGGCGATCTCGAGTTTGCCAAAGAAGAAGGCGAGCCAGAGGGGCGTTTCGCCAAAGGTCGACTTGTACTCCAAGGAGTTGGGACACGCCTGGATGAGGTACTTGACCGTCCTGTCGGTGGCCTCGTTCGACGGTCCCATCACGGCACAGTGCAGGACGAGCTCATCTGGATGGCCATGTCAGCAAAGAGTGTACCATGGAACGAATTGTGGCGTACTTACTCTGAATGCCTAGCCACTTGGAAATGGCGCGGTCGAATCCTCCAGGCGACTGGCTGAGGTGCTTCAGTCTGGGATCTTCCCGAGCTGTCTTGGACTTTCCAAAGTCGGTGTAAAGGCGATGCGGGGCATCGCTGAGGAACCATTCCACGCCGGCAATGTTGCCATTAAGGGCAGCATGGAGGAGGGGCGGCGTCTTCATCCCGGTTAACCTGACAACCATGTTGCGCCCTGCTGTTGCCCAGTCCTTCCTGTAAAGTTGTCAGTACAGCCGCGATCATAAACAATGATAGCTACTTACCTCTTCTTTCCGTATACCGTCAATCCCTGGTAATATCTCGGCTTCCTCTTCATCTCGATGCCACTCTTCTTGACAAGGTCGTCCAGCGGAATGCCCGCGCCGGTTCGGCTGATGATCTCGGCCAAAGCTGTGGTCCTGCCTTCTTGGACAGCCCGAAGGAAGGCATCTTCCGGGAATGAAAAGCGCCCTCCGACATCCTCTTCTTCCTCGCCGTGTCGGCCGTCGATGAGCTTCTGACCAGCGAAATGGGTGGCCATGTCGAGGAGGACCTTCAGCCCGGCTTGGTCGTCTCGTTGCATGACAAACATGAAAAGGGATTGTCTACAAGTGTTCGTCGGCTTGCCGTTCTCCATCTCAAAGGTTTGCACGCTTTGAGTCAAGAACTCGATGGGCTTGACGGTCGACTTGACTTGCATTGACACCTGACCAATGTTCTCGATCGTGAACTTCTTGTCGACGATCTCTGAAATGATCTTGGGGTCGTCATTGGAATCTGCCTCGCTTTCGTAGGACTCCTCGTCCTCGTCGTCGGAATTGCCGTTGTCCAGCTTGTACCGGGTTGCCTCCTCTTCCTCAGGGGCATACTGAGCCATGACAATCTCCAAAATTGCCGATGCTACGTCGTGATGACCGCGAAGAAACGCCAATGAAAAAGGCGTGTTCAGTCCATCGTCGTTGACAGAGATTTTCAGCGGTGGCTCATCTTGGTCCTTGCCCCAAGCTTGCAAAGTAAGAGTTTTGATCTTGTCAACATTTCCGGCCCATGCAGCCTCAAACCTGCAACTTTGTTAGCTTCATTATATGACGCTCGTGATTCGGTGACTTACATTTCCAGGTACG